TATTGTATTAAGCTTTTGGGTTGAAACAGATACTTTAGTGTTTGTGTGCGTGTGTGTGTGTAAGCTGATTCCTTGCCATGCAGGGGGAAGGGCAACATTTTCTTTTTTGAGTTCCTGAGTATTTCCAGTTACTGAAAGAGACACAGTGAAACATAATAAAAATAAAAATATATGCTTGGGAGGATAACACTTCTTTGTCTGTCATGCATGCTCCCTTTAAACTAGGAGACAGTTTCTAAAAGTAGATTTAAATGTAAAACAGATTATAGTGTGAAATTAGTTTGTGGAATTGATTTGTTTACCTTTTTAGCTGGGCAGGATTTTTCAGTCCATTGATGTATTTACAGGTGACTGATTTTCACAGTATGACATAATATCATGTTTTCTTTCCTAGGAATAGTAACTGGCTTTTGCATTTGCTTTCCTTCTTTTTTCAAAAATCCAGGCAAAAAAACTCCCTGTTTTGAGAAGGCCAAATGATTTTATTCTTGTCCTAGCTAAAATTGGTTTTAGAGGTTTTGTAGCTATTTTTAGGGTTATCGACAGAGCACTTGACTGTTTTCAAGAAAATTACTGTCACTTTGTAGATCAACTAAGTAGCATGTGTAATGTTGTTACTTACAAACCTTCTTTTCTCTGCAAGTCCTCTGAAATATTTTTTCCATAGACAGCAGCTAATAATCTGCTGGATCCTTTTTTATATTTAACAGCACCATTGTATCAATATAATTACATTTCTTGTCACCAGTCTTTGATTAAGATCAATATCTGCTTTTTGTCCCCTGTTCTGTTTCAGTGTCACAGCAGCCTTCATGTCCACATCCCTCCTGTACCAAGCAGCCCATGCGCCTGTTGCCCTTCTGAGCAGTCTAGGAGGCAGGGCTCACAAGCCACAGGTTCCCTCTGGGCTCGCTTATGCCAGTGCCATGGAAATAGAGGAACTAAAGTCAGAGTTGTCCATTTATTTATTACTTTTCCTTGTTACTATTCTGAGAAATTAAGGTTTGCTTAGTTCATTTCTGAAGATTTTGAATCTACTCTTGAATTGCTTGCTTTGGTCTGTAGCCAGATAGCAGCTTCCGTTTCTGGATGTCTGTAGCATCATCCCTTTCCTTTTTCTGCCGTTATCCCCATTGGTTCCTGCTGGTGGAATGCTGTTAACTACAGCAACTTGTCTTGTAAAGTGTTTTAGGATGTCACTTGGAGGAAATGTTTGTATACGATTAGAGGAGCTGGTTGATTTTAAGACCCTCTCCCTTTGTAGAATACCGAACATCCTAGTAGGCAGGATGTGCACTCTTCAGTGACAGAAATCTAGATCTTCCTACTGCCTTCAATTGCAAAGCCTACCTTCACTCACACACTACGCTGTATTTTTGCTATTCTCTGTGTATAGAGTATTATACATAACTTTCAAGTTTACATACAGGCATTGAGATGTTTCAGCCATTTATAGTTCACTATAAAAATAGGTAAGCAGGTTTTAAGAACGGTATCTTGAACCTGAAACTACTCATGTTTGGTCTGACAGAGTGTTAGTTCAGATATTTTTTTCCAGGAATCGAACTCTTGGTTATTGCTTTTTACTTTCTTAGGTAAAGGTTTTAATTTTCATAAAGATTTTTACTATCCTGCTTTAGTTTTGATATTTAAAAAAAAAAAAATGTTGATATGAATGCTTGTTTCCTTCCCAATTCTGCATTTCTTGTCTTTTAATGGGAGGAAGAATAAAGGAAATGCCAATGCTCTGACAGTAGTACTGCACATTTTTGCTGCTGTTTTTGCAGTGTGGCAATATCTAGATGGTCCTGCTCAGTGCTTGAGGCTACCGCGTTGCAAGGGCTTTAGCAACTTTGGCAAGAATGTGCTCTTCGGGGGATGGCTGTGGTCCCTATCATCAGCAATGTACCTTAAATGTGAAACAGCTCCCCTTCCCTGGGTACTGCAATGGATGGTGAATCTGTGGTGATCAGGACTTGCTTCAGAAATTTCAGAGGTCAGGCTGTGCAGCCTTAGGTTCTATAAACAAAATTATCAGTGCAGTTGAGATGATAATCTTCTAGATTTTTGGACTGAAATCCTCATTGGAGTTAACTCTTTGCCTACGCTTTAGTCTCTGGTCAAGTCTGTGACTTGTTAAGAAAACCCATTTGCCCCATAATGAATTGGGAATATATCCACATTAAAATGTCCACACAAGTGCTGCACATGCCAGCCCATGACCCCGAGTGCTTGGACCCACATCCAGTGTTACCCATGGGTAGCAGGCTGCAGTGGTGCTGCCAGCCCAGTGCGTGGGTTTGAGTAGATCACCTAATGACTAAGGAAGCGGGAGTCCTGGAGATGGATATCCAGGTTCTTCAGAGGAGAAGGCGCTTGGGGGCATTTTGGCGGTGAGGGCGCAGAGGCTGGTGCTCTGGACGGTGCAGGAGGACTTCCCTGGAACAGTGCTTGGTGGCCCTGGCTGCTCCCCAGGCCTGTGGGTCTGGCTGTGGGGGGCCCGTGAGGCCCCCAGCACGCCACTGCCTGCACCACTGGTTAGTACCTCCGTGCACACAAAACCATATCCCCTCAGGAAGCTCCAGCATTATGTGGGCTACCAAGAGCTCATCAAAGCAAGCCTGTTCTGTAAACCAGCTCACCGTGGAGTGCAACATAAAATGTCTATTTGTGGAGTGTTATTTTGGTTTCGAAGTATCGCTCCTCGGGCAAGGAGTGGTCCTCAGCACGGTAGGCACCTAGGAAGCAGCGCCGCTGTGTGCTCTTGTAACGGAGCAGAATGAAGCGCTCTGGAACATTCGGAACTGCTGAATTTCATCCTGCTCTGCTCAGAAGGATATGATTCCAGATGGTAGGAATCTGCCCTTGCTTCATTAGTACAAGCAGATAACACAGCATATAGCACGAGCAGGGGCAAGGCGGGTAAACACAAATTTAGAAAAAAATACTAGATTTACGGGGGAATTGAATGGTAACATTCATTTTCATGGAATTGCTAGTGACAGCTGTTACTGTCTTAAATTTATGAGATTTCAAAGCATTAAAGTCTATATAAAAATTTGAATTTATTATCCTATTGAAAAATAGGATAGGAATATGCTTTAGAAAATAAACTAATTCACAGATTAGAAGTGAAAGTAAAAAGGAAAAGTTAGATATTGATCTGAAATAAGGATTACTGTGAGTTATACCTGAATCTTGAATATTTATATATTGCGATGAGGAGTGTAGGACACTTAAAGGTCTGGATTCACTCTTAGTAGCTGCAAAGGCTGAAAAAAAAAAAAAAAAAAAAAAAAAAGGCTGGTATTCTGAGAAAGCAGGCATATTGCATTGCTCTAAAAATGTGCTTGACTGTATATTGTTTACAATATTTTCCTTCTGTTTTTGTTTTGGGGTGAGTTTGTGGTTGATTTGACTTTTGCTGTTTCCTTTGTTTTTCTTTTTTCCTGGCCAAATGCGAGTATGTATAGAAGCAAGGCACAGAAGTAGCTGAATCAACAAAGTGATGAAAAATGTATTGTGTGAAGTGCAGTGCCAAAAAAGTAATGGATTTGTCCTTCAGTCCCTGTTTTATGGTATTCTGAATTTCTTGCCCAATATGTCTTGAACAATAGAGTTTAAATACCTAAAGCAAAATGTCAATGAAATCAGTGCTGGAATGTAGATGTCTACAGTTCTCCAGTGTTTTGTTTTGTGTTGTGTGTTTGTTTTGTGACATGACCAGATTTGCTGGCTTGGGAGCACACTGACTTTGTTTCTTTGTGAGTTTAATGGAGAGCAAATGGTATTGGGAGAGCTGCCTAAAGAGCTTCTGATGAATTTACAGTATATAGTAGACTGATCTGTTTAAAATTTGTACTTGGTCTTACCATTTTGAATAATTGGAAATTGGAAAATTTGATTTTATTTAAAATGGACAAAATTTTGCAGATTTTTTTTATTGCAGTTAATACAAATCTTGCTTTGCGCACATTATTTTCATTAAATGCAAAATTTCACAAATGCATGTAAATGTTATGTAACATGAAAATTTGTTTAACATTAATGAGAATGAGCATGGAATTATATTGTCAGTTTTTTAGTTGTCTTTTTGGTGTAAGTGTAATGTCTCATTTGCAATTCAGAAAATTGCAAATGTCTCCACATTTCTTGTAGTTAAGATCTGTTACTGTTGGTCAGTTATTTTAAGACTGAGACTATGGTCCTCATTTTGAAAAGAATGAGTGAAGACCCTGGAAGATGCCTTCAAGTACACTTTGTTTTGTGTGAAGACACCCTGCAAACTGTGCAGCTCTTGTTTATAGTGGATGCTCTATGATAACCATAACTTCAAAACTAATAAAAAAGAGAAAAAGACGTTGCTTATGTGCAGATGTTTTTGGGGCAGGAATGAACGTAAGTTCTTTATTTGAGGTGTACACAATTACTTGGCTTTAAGTTGACTGTCATTGAGATAATCCAGATTCAAATCTTTCAAATCTTTCTTCACATCACTGTTAGCTGCCCAAATAAATGGCTATGATGATGATAAACAGGGGAGCTAACAATATAGAAGTAGCAAAAGTGGGAACTTCTAAGACCGGTAGCTTTGCTCTCTTGCTTTTTGATGTTTCTATTAATAGTTCTTTTCTTAAAAGCACATAAATCTAAAACCTCATACTGAAACTGCTATAGATGCAGTTTTGAAGGAGAAGAGGAAACTGTAATTAGATATGCTTCATGAAGTCGAAATAACAGGCAGTTAGATTGTACTTAGACAGCACTGGTATTTTTGTTGTTGTTATGAATGCGTGGAAACGTGATAATTTGCTGTGCGTCTGTGTGTTTGCCAGCTGACCACTTACAGAGCAACTATGGTTTTCACAGTTACCTAAGTTTTATATTAGATTATCTAGTCTCTTTAGGAAATATTGATAGTGTTTAAAACATCTTAATGAATGACCTTCATTTGAGATTAAGATTAGCCTAATATTTGCCTTAATTGTAATTTCTTTAAGGGCCTATTGAATTTGAGGAATGTAACACATCTAGTGCAGTTGAAGGTAAGTAGCTATCGTATAGTTATTTACATAAAAATGCTATGGATGAAATCTGGAGCTGAGGAATGAATGGTACATGAAATTGCATGAATTTGCAGTATTCTGATAGGCTCACAAGCAATTATTCCTTTTAAATATGCAATGTTTGAACTTCTACCAAAATAAGATTTACAATATAGTATTAACCTAGCTCACAGTTGTCGGAAAATTTTAATATTTTTTATAAATATACCTTGACTAGACCCTCTCACTGGATCTGGTTCACTGATGACTGTAACTGAATTTACAAGTGTACAAATATGGCTCAGACTGTGTCCATTGTTGCCATGTTGCTTATACCAATTTCTAACATAGAGTTCTGCTCATAAGGCATCTTTTATTGATGTTGCTGTTTTTCTTAAGGGGTTGTCATAAGTGGTTAAGAGCCACTTTATTACTATAAGCTGTGTATTTACTTTGGGACAAAGGAGTTGACAGTATAGCTGGAGCAGCTGACAACTCTTCAAGTTGCCAAGATTGCAGCTGAGGGACTTAAAATCATTTCTGACTGAAACAGAAAAGTTCCATCTTCAGAACTACTCCCATACTCCATTTGTCACTGATTTTGGCTGGATAAAGCACAGAAAGGAAATAAATGCCAGGCTCTGCATTTAAAAATAATTTTGGAGCAATGATTTCTGTCTCTATTAAAATACAAAATGTGCCTGAGTTTACAGCTACCTAAGAAATGTTTAGTTATTTCACACAGAAATTTTCTAACATTTTATACTAATTTCCACTTATATGTCCTGTGTAATGAAACCCTGTGCTGAGAGAGCCTGATGCAGACTTATTTTCAATGCCTTAAATGGGCATGAAAGAAAACTTTTGTTGTTGTTTTCTGCATTATAGCTATATGTATCCAGTGCTAAAAATGGGGAAGAAAATAGAGAGGGAAGGCATGTTCCAGGCTCAGTAGGAGCTAGTCTTGTGCCAGCTGTAGCACTGGGGTTTAATAAGCCCAGTGTCAATGGGAAAACCTAGAAAAGTTCACTTGTCCACAGGACCCAGGCCCTGCTTCTTGGGAGAGGCTGCAGCTCGCGGCGCCAGCGCCTCTCGAGGCACTGAGACCAGCGCGAGAGGGGCAACCCCTGAGCCCGGAGCACGGGCTGTAGCTCAGCAGCCTCCTCCTGACTTTGTGAGCGGAGTTTCTTCCCTCAAAACTGGCAATGCACCCGCCTTCTGCTAAAGAAGCTGCAGTCTCACATTATCAAAGTATTACTTTAACTTTTTTTAAATTAAATTAGTTCTTTGGGGGGTTGCTTGCAGCATAGGGCAACAGATATCATGTGCTCCCTTAATTGGGCCCCGTGTCTACCCCAATGTTAGACTCTTGTCATTCATAATACCAACATTTAGAAGGTATTTACATTGGTATGTTCTAGTGTGTTGCACTTTGCTAAGTGTTTGCTCATCTCTGATTTTTACGTGAAAAATGTTTGTTCCCTAGGGATAAAACCACGGAAGAGAAAAGCTTTTGGTTTATCAGGAATAATGAAAAAAGAAAAGGATACTGAATCTGTGTAAGTATATTTCTAGCTTGAAGCTTTCAGTCATGTGTAGAAAGGAATAAACACCTGGAGATAAGCTTTAGCAAATGATTAACACAAGTAGTGATTTTTATAATGCATGTTTAAAGGAGTGCTATCAATATGAAAACATTATAAATGTTTAAGATTTTTGTAACAAAAGATGTTGAGTATTCTTACTAGTTTACTGATATGTTTCCTTGTTTCCTCTGCATACGTAAGTAGTTCTCCCTTGTGCAGAGATTTAAACACTGTATAAAATATGATTCAAAAAATAGCTTATAATTAAAAAGAAACTTATATATTAAGAAATATTTTCAAAATGGCAATATTTAAAAACATTCTTTTTTTAAATACTCTTAATTTTTAAATAGCATGCTTAGGAATTTGTGATCTAAGAACAGCACACTGTGTATTTACACATAAAAAGTGCAAAAGCCCTATGGCTGGTGTTCTTTTGTTATTTGATTATACCAGTTACACTTCTTAACAATACCTTCCTCCTCTCTGTTTTGATGTTCTTAGGGCTCAGAGGTCCTCTCCACACGCTCTACCTTGCATACTTTAATATGCTCAAGTAATAATATGAGCAATAATCTGAGAATACTTTCCTGTTGCAAGGCCTTATTTCTTCTGATAATGATTTAGTTGAAATATTTTTAAAATGAGAGTGGTGTACAGATTGGAGGATTTTGGTGTTTTAAATGCTTTTACTGCACTACTTTAATCCTTTCTCTCTTGAAATGTAATTGGTAAAGTTTTTTTTATGTAATGCAGATATTTCCTATATCAAATAGCACACAAAAAGAGTATTTCAAATGTTCATTTGTTAGCTTTTTGATTTTTTCATTTAATTATTTGGAAAGCAGGCTCTTTGATAAGATTGAGCATTAAAAAACAAGCGATCTGCTTTTCTTGTCCAACAGAAAAATTGTTTTTGCCACAAAGTGGGGTGCTACTCACACTGATTTCATATCGTATATTAACTTGTTTGCAATCTGGGTGTTACCTTCTACACATTCTTTGAGAGATGATAAAATATTATCTGGCCCCAGCAAAGATATAGGGCAGCTAATATTATTTTTCTGGAGCCAGTAGAGGCCAGGAAGTTTCCAGTTTGACTTTTCCAGGTGTATCAGATAGCATATCTAGACTCAGAGATTGTTTTTCCTCTACTTGTATGAAAAGAATTTTGGGGGATACTGAGGGTTGCAGATTCATCTGTACAGTGTGAAACACTTCATATCTGTATATGGTGCTCCATGACATCTGGATATTTTCCCCAAAACTGCCTTTTTCCAAATAAATTTTATTTAATGATGAAAGGGAATATGGGAGGCTCTTTCTAGGAGAAATTGTCTCTCATGGTGCAATGATGTTGTCAATCAATATCGGTCAGTTCAGCTGTTCTGAAATGCGTAGAGAGTTGCCTGACTTTCTATGACTTGAGCTAGAACTTGATTTATATTATACTGTTTGTATCTGTGTGTGTATATATGTATGTGTATATATATATGTGTGTGTGTATATATACACACACACATATATATATGTGTATACACACACACACACACAATATAGAATCAAATGGGTACTAAGGTCAGAAAGAAAGCAGTATGGCTGCCTAATACTGATCTCCTATATAACACAAGCTATAGATTTTTACAAATTCTCACTTTGATCCCTCTCTAACTTAACAAGAATGTCACATATTTAATGTTAATTTTTTGAATAGTTGATGGTACATTTTATACCTAATTATAATAGGAATATAAGTATACCTCAGTATAATATATCCTAGTATAATAGTTATTTATCATCACCTTAAAAAGTTTTATTGCAAGTCTGCTTTTTTCTGACCTCATCTTCTAGTTAATAATGTTGTTATAGGCTCTATTACCAGAAATCTCCTCTGTGGGAGAAAAAACCTTCCTGTCTTAGTTGTAAGCTACAATTCTTGAATTCCCTTAGAGAGTCCCCACTTTATGGATATATCACCTTGTACTGGAAGTGTGAACTTGCTCTTTCACCTTGAAAGACAGGTCGTGCAGCCAGCAAGGTAAAAGCACTCCCACTTAAACCTCAGTGTCCTCCTTTCCCACCTCTCCAGCCTTTCTCTTTTGCACACATCAAGTCAGTTTTTCCAGCAGCGCCCCTCTTCAAGCTGTAAACGAGCTCTTGAAGCAGCTCTCTGCCCGGCTCTGAGTTTCTCGGAGCCAGCAGGGGGAGGTAGGACTCCAGCGGAGCAGAGCACCCTTCTCTCGCTGCCAGCTCCCTTGCAGTCTACGCAGTTCCACACTCATATTTCCACGTGTGCAAATTCTCATACCTGTTTTTAAAGACATTGGGCTTTGTTCGTTTAACCCATTTTGGCTCTCCCAGAAGATAGTTTAGCTTGCTTGAAAATGAATTGCAACTGCATGTGGACAGTTTTGTTCAGATTACTGACTGTGGTTTATTATACACATCATCCAAGGACTTGGCTCTTAATTATATTCATCTTCACAAAGTTGTTGACTATATTTGCCAGAAAAGGAAAGCATGATGGGTATTCACTAACAGAATTTGAAATACAGCCTGGTACCCCTGTCTTCCCTCGATTCCTCCCGTCCTCCAACCCCTCTTCTAGGACAGGTCAGGGCCATTTTGCAACTTCAGATTTTCAATATTTATTGTGCAGTTTTCTTCTATGGTGGTTTCAGCTTCTTTTATTTAATTCTCATGCTGTTGAATGTGTGTATATACTGTAAATTTTAAAAGTTTGAGACACAAATGAGCCAAATGTGATGTTTCAAATTGTTTGAAATTATTAAAGGAAGTACAAAACTAAAGAAATTAATTTTTGTGTTTTATAATTGTAAATTTTCTTTTTTCTTTTAATAGGGAATGTCCAGATGCAGACTCAGTTGTAAGTAGACTTATTTCCAACTTAAACACATAAGCTAAACTTGTCAACCATTAAGTCTAACTAAACTTGGCTTACATCCAGGTTTCGCAGAGAATTAGTATTATGATAAAGGGTTTACTATTTTGAGGACATAGTTGAAGCGATGGTTTTGCTCAGAACATGCAGCATGCACAAGTGTTTCCCTAATGCATTTATATTTCCCAGCAGATTTAGGTTTTAAAGAACATGTTTTTACTGCAATTATTTGCTATTTTATTTTAAAGGTTCACAGAGTTTGAAGTAACTAACTAATAGGTTCTAAGTGAGTTCATCTTTCACATTACTTTCTTGTGCATCTAACTTTGCCTCCTCATTTTCCTTGCTTTATTACCATCTCTTTGGAAAATTCCTCCAATATTAATGGAGCTCTGCATGATTGCTGACAATAGAATGTAGGAACACACATACTTAAATAGTGCCTTAAATGAAGAATTGCTAGATAGACTTTATTCATGGTCTGTTTTTTATTGCTATTTTTAGTCTGCAGTACATTTTACAGTTTTACTTATTGACTTCAAAGAGGAGGCAGTTGCAAATGAAATTAATATGTTAATGTGTTTTATTTTTGAATTGAGCCTCTTGTGTTTTCTTTAAGCATATATGTCATCTTAAATTATATGTACACTGAGTGTGACTCCATATGGCGACAGCAGAGAAATGTTTACAGAATGATCCAAGTGTTTTTCTGGAGACTGATTCATTTTTCAGTTGTCTTATGTAGATGTCAATTATATTAAACAGTTTAATTTTCCAAGTTCACTGGTTACTTGGGTTTTCTTCTTTGCATTCAATATCTGTGATTTTTAGGACCTAATATTAAAAGAAAAAAATAGAAATTTGGTTTAAAAAGATCTAGTATAACCATTTTTTTCCTTAAGAAGGAAGAATCTTAATAAGCAAGATTAACCAAATAATCAAGCATATGTATATAAAGAGCTTTGTAAAGATAATTTGAGACAAGCTTTTTATCCTGTACAGAGACAGACTAATTTCAAAGCAGAATTCTTTTCTTGGGACATTTAAAGAAAAGTACCTTAGAACTGTCAAGCCCTTAATGTCTTTGGACAGTTCAGGTTGAATCACTGGAGAAAAACAGCAGGCTTTGATTTGTAGTGTTTATTTTCTTATTTGCTTGTTTTGATTTTTTTTTTCATGATTAATTCAACAGTATTCAACAGTAAACATGTCTGATGTTGTTTGTGGCTGCGTGAGGCACACTGTATGAACATATAAATAAATTGTATTGTACAGTCTAGATGTAATTTATACATGGTAAAAACAAATGTAAAAAAGTTCTTTCATAGTGCCTAACAACAAAAGTGATACTTGCGCTCTCATTTGTTTTGTGCCCGGCATTTTATGGGTGCTTTTGGGCTGCAGAATATGGTCTATCGCTTCTTCTTGCTTTTCACAAGCAGCAGTATTATTCCAAATGGGAGAATCCTTTAATAACAGAAGCCATTAAAGTCACTCCCGTGAAAAACTGTGGCTGAGATTCATTCACCCTTTATGATCAGTTCGTCCCCAGAGTGCTAGTATATTTTAAGGCTGGCAGCCTTCTCTGGAAGGTCCCACCTCAGATACTTCTCATTTCCTTGTCTTTTACTTAAAGATTTCATTCCCATTTCAGTTTTCAAACTTAATGCCCATAGTTGCAGCTCGCGGTGTCAGTATCTCTATTATGATTTGCTTTGCATACATCTTTTAAATAGATGTACATTTCAGAAATTTGACCTTGGAAAAGTGTTCAAACTTGGAAACAGAAGTAGTGTCGTTAGGGCCTTCTCACTAGTTGACAATGTTTATTGCAGTGTATTCTAGCTCCTGCTGCTTCTCTGTTTTTACAAGCAAAACAGTGAGGTGGTCCTAGGATGTCTTTTTTAGCACATCTTAGGACCATCTTAAGAACTTCCATTTAAACTTAACTTCCACTTAAAGTGGAAGTTTTGGGGGTTATCTCTTGGAAACGGCCTACTTGTACTCATCCTGATTTATAGCTGCCAGATTATATGCATTGGAAAACAAAATTTTAATGCATATGAGTAAATTACTAATTCCTATCTGGAAATTTTGTAACAGCTGTGAGAGGTTTTTATTTGATCATGAGTAGGCACAAAGCAGTCGTGGTACAAGACGGGAGCATGTTGAGTACCTGCTTTTCTTGCTTCCTGCATCCCAGGCAGCGTGAGAGAGTAACTGGCCCCTCTCTTCTGTGTCTTTGGGGTTTACGCAGCCTACAGAGAGGAGGTTAAAAATATGTCACATCTCTGCCACAACCTAAGGAGGTACTGACATAAATTTACATGCCATGGATGTCTGAAGTTGAGAGGCCTTTTATCTCCCGTTCCAGGCCATCTTCATGTGCTTACCTTGAGGCAGCTTTGCTCCTCCGCTGGTTGCACAGGAAGTCTAATCTGGTTCAGCAAAATGGTAGCAAGTTAATCTTGTTTACAGAGAGCTGTTCAGCTCGGGAAGGGGGAGGGGAAATCTTGGAAGCACTGTCAGTATCCCAGAGAAGAGAAAATAAGCAAAAATCAAGGTGAAGTCCAGCTCAGGTTTCTCTCTCCTTGACCCTGGGACGGCCTTGAACCTGGGAGCTGTGTTAGCATTGCTGCTGAGGCAGTGGGAGGCTCCAAGTGCTGCCCTGCAGCTCTTGGTGTGTTCCTCCCAGGCATCAGCAACCTGCTCCCCCTGTGGCTTTGCTGGTGTTTGGACAGGGCAAAGAGTCTGACCCAAAGCATTGACTGGAATTCTAAAGTTTTGGGAACAGAAAGTTTAGTCCTCCAGCTTTTTGTGTAGGCAGTTTTATTTTGTATCTGTTTTGTCCCAGTGAATATATGCCTCAGCCAAATGGCTGTCTTCAACTGCTATTACGTGATGAATTAGTAAATAAAATTCTGATGTTTCACAAAGTAATGAGAACTCTTTCTCCCCCCCAAAAAAAATATTTTGAAATTCCTGCTTAATTTGCAAGTAAGTTTTTGAGGTACCATTTTGCTGGTATGACAGATTTGTCAATGCAAAGTTATAGATCTTTTCTACCCTTTCATGCTAGTAGTATACATGTAAATTCAGAAAATTGCCAGTTACTGTCATTTTTCCTGCATGTCCTCAGTAATGATATCCTTTACATATCTGACCTGGCTGGAAGAAAAAGTAAATGTGCTATATTTAAAGATTTTTTGTTGTTTTTTTTTCAATTCCTCTTAACCATGAGTGATCCTTAAGTATTGAAAATTGCCCATTGTGACAGCTAGAATTGGTGTAGAATTAAGAAGCTGTTCTATTGTAGGAACATGTCCCTACCCTCCAGCTATATGTTTTTGTTCTGTTTACTTTGATGTCAAGTTTCATTAGTATTTTTGGGTACATAAACAAGGTTAGCCTGAGGTCAAGCACAGATAAGAACTCTGATTCGAGCAAGTGGAGCTAAGGTACTGGACCGTGTGATCCTACTCTTAGTACTTTTTTGTGCGTTTGCTTTTTCTCTTTGTTTGTTTTTGTTTTTTTACTTACTTACTGATGAAGACCAGATCATCCTTTTTTTTTTTTTTCCCTCTCTCTCTCCCAAAAAAAGGAAATTGAATTGAAATGCTCCATATTTTAGGGCTTGCAATTAACAATATTTTTGTGTAGCTGAATTATACAATATTGTACTCTTGCTCCGCTTAGCAGAATACTTTGTCTGTATTTCAGTCTGCATTTCAATTTAGTTCAATTGATCTGTGTTTCAATTTAATTCACAAGTGCCACATTTAGAGAGTTATATGGGGAAAATCTCAGTAAAGTATGAGACATCCAATTTGTGGTATCTATAAAGAAGGCCAAGCATACTATTTGTTCTCTTTCTCAGTAATTCAAATATTATTCGGTGTGGACATTTCTTTAAATTTTGCTTCAAAATTTAGGTTAAGTGTCTGCTTCCTAGCTGAAATACCCTGTATAAGTCATTTTCTGTTCCATTCCCCTCTCTAAAATGTTTCTGTTCCCCGTTCTAAAATGTTTTAGACATTTTATGTATTTCAGTCAAACTGCCTCCTAGTGCTTACTTTCTAATAGAGTAAGGATAAACTGACATTTTAGAATAAATGACTTTTTATATAAATCTTGCCATTTTTAATGAGAAACTTATAGCTGGTAAGATCACTACATTCTGAAGAGATCTGATTTTGTGTTTTTTGTAATCCATTCCATACCAGCAGTTCATGTAGAGTGACTAAGGATACAGAGATATTAGTGGGCTCTTATTCTTCTCTTGCATGAGGGAAGCTTTCTGTGTATTCGTGCCTATCCATTTATAGGTGATGAGGGAGGCATGCTTTACATTTTTGAAGTATCATGTTAGAGAATTAGCTTATCATTATTAGAGACGGATTTTCTTTCTCCCCAAACACTTTTATGAATCTAAGTGCTTAGCCAAAATCTGCAAATGATTTGTAATGTAATTATCTTCAGTCTACCTTTAATTGCCCACAAGAGTGGAACAGCTGAACTCAATGGAAATTCCTGGCTGCTTAAGTCTGAAAATCCAGGACAGTGCTGGTCATGTGTAAGATCCAAATTTTCCTAAAGGCTTTTAACCTCATTTGAATGTTCTTTGCTAAAGCAATGGTACAAATGTTGCTGCCTTTTCAAGGGAGAAAGAGCAAGTTTTGTCCCACGTAACTTGGAATGCCTTTGCTCACATGTTGAAGTATTGGCTTCATAAGGTTTGTGCTCCTGCATCCCCAAAGCCGCCACGGGTTTAGCTGAAAGAATTAAAAGTAGAAACGAGGAAAATATTTGGGGCCAAGAGAATGATAGGCTTAATTAACATTTAAAAGTAAAGCCTAAAACATTTAAAATTGAAAATATAACATTTTAAAATATTAAGCAATATTTATATTTTGTATGGTATAATTAAAATGTATAATATCAATATTAAATGTTTTTTAGTCATGCTCTGTTCTGAATTATAGAGGATAATGTTCTGAATTACAGAGGATAATGTGCGATAACCATGAATTAAACTGTGGATTAATAATGAATAACCTGTTGTAGTCAAATTTTAAATTGTAAGTGATATAAAATATGATACAATTTAAGAATAGCAAATTTTTAAGTTATTTGTCAATGCCATATCTTTTTTTTTCCCCTTTCTAGAATATTCCTGATGTGGATGATGAAGGATACAGCATTAAACCAGAAGCAACACAGAATATCCTTTTGATTTTTCTTCTGTCTAGTTATTTTTTAGTTTTTACAATTCTCTGGAGAGGTGAACAAGTACTGATGAAAGTGTTAAGTAGAGAAATATGACTTCCATGCTTATGTTGCAACTTGGTCTGTTCGTAGCTTCCAGAAAAAGTGTCAAGTTTTGTCTAGGCTAGATCTTGTGAGTTTGTGTAAATACTGGAGAGACTTTTGGAAAGAATGTTAGGCTAAATGTCTTGGGAACTTTTAAGGGGAATTTTTTTTAACCTGAAGTAAAAGTAAAAAAAAAAAAAAAAAAAAAAAGCCTGAAGAAAAAATTAAGATGATCCTGCAGATGTTCCTCCATGAAAAGCATCCACAGAATTTGTAAAATAGAATTCCCTTTTAAGCATGCTGAGGCACTGCATGTTTTATAGCTGCACCCTCCTTTTTTTTTTTTTTCATGTTGTAAAAAAGATTGGAAGCTCCAACATCTAAGAATGGAGTTTCTGTCGTTTAATGAAGTTGTTCCACCACATGCTGATTCTAATTGGTGCTTTTATTGGATTTTTAATTTAATTGGTGCATAGAATAAGCTTTTATTATAGGCTGTTTTGTTTAATGGAGGCTCATGGTTTTCACTGCCCTTCCTTTGAAGGGTGAGATTCAAGGGTAAAATTTGTAGTGCCATCCTGCAAAATAGTGGTGGCCGCTGCTCCCTCTACTTCATGTCTATGAGCTGCCAGTGGCATCGCAGCGTGGTTCCAAAAGGTCAGTACTTCACCTCACTTCATTTAAAAATTGGTACAAAGCTTGCCTCTTCCCTAAGTGCAGTACAGTGCTTAGCTGAGCATTGCAAATCATAAAATACAAAATTATTGTTACTGTAAGACCCTTCTTTTATGCTGTTGCCTTCATCTATGTAATCCTTTGGTTATGTAATAGTGCGTCCCATAACAAGTACCATTATGAAGATGAATGGAATGTAAAGGCCAGAGTAGGTATAAAAATTGACCAGTGGTTATAGATGTAGATGTCTATAAAGGACACAAAGAGCTATGGCAGTAGTATTTTATCTGGGATGTTTACTTAATATGTGAATTTTCTAGATATGCAAGAAATGGATTAAGCAGATGAATTTGAAATACTTCTACCTTAACTGAGAAAAACATACCAAAGAGAACCACTTCTATTCATCCAGTGATTCTGACTCTGAAGATGATGAGCCCAGGAGGTTCCATGTAGAAATAAAACCTGTACAGCCAAATCATAGCTCTCAGTGCACAATGGCTTCTTTGGATGAATTAAAAGTATCTATAGGGAACATTGCTCTTTCTCCAGCAATATCTGTAAGTAATTCTGTTTCTCATATTTCTAATTAATATAGAACAGTGTTAAGGAATCTTTTGTGAGGATGTCCATTTTAATATTCAGAATTTATTCTAGGTTCAGGTTTGGTGATTATTTTTCTTGTTCACTAGGCTGTCTTTAGTGTACTCTATCATGATGTAGTGTTAAAAAATTCTGTCTTTTCTGATTGTAGTTTTCCTTTTGAGGAAAGCTGCTCAGTCCTTGTCTTTCTGCTCTTGCCTCTGCAATAGATTTGAATACATGTGGAATTAGCTGAACATTGTTTCTAACATAGTTTAATAATCAGTATTAAGTAAAACACAGGCCTTAAAATAGATCATATTCAGATTCCATGATTTTTACAGCACATTTTTATTGTAGGTATTTACAATAAGCCATAGAATGATTCTTTAAACTAAGCAATGATATTATAAACAAACAGTTTTAAAATATGTTAGTACAATAAGGATGGCTTAAAGATGTTTTAAAGGAAAAAATGCATACTATATTAAAATATTAATCATGATTTTCTCATTTTTTCCTCTTGTTTTGAAAGCAGAGACACAGTCCTGTAAGTACAGAATGACTTTTTATTGTTATTCGTAAATTAAATTAGAGTAAGTGCAGTCTGTAAGGGAATTACTGGGGAAAACTTGGGAATGTTCCTGTTCCTATCTGTCAGATATGCTATATGGTAGGAAAGCTGTCAGCTTTTAATGACATGTCCTGTAAAGAAATTTAGTAATACCTACTAAAGCCTTGTTTATACAATTTTACATTAATCTTTCTAAAGAACATGAAGATTCCAGCAAGAAGGCACTGTAGAAAGGTACAGAATTACATTATGTTTTGAATCCCATCTGAATAGAATTGTGTCAAATTCAAGGTCCGTAAGGGCTTCAGTAGCACTTCTGCCTCTATTTTCTGTACCTGTCTGCTTATTTCCATAGTGATATCTCAGGTATACCGGTACAATTAGTCAACTAAGATGCATATAAAAAATGAGCACAGGATACCTTTACTTTTGGCTAACCATTTGGGGTTTGACAGGAATAAAAAAGTCCAAAATGACTGAAAGTGGAGTGTAGCAGTCCCTAGCCACTAGGTCTGCAGAGCCTGTTGTGGTATTAAAATAGATAAGCCCAGGGATGATGGCTGAGAAGTGACCTAACACTTGCAGGGATATTGGCTGTTTCTCTGTTTGTTTCCCCCAACATTCCAGTTGGGGGAAGCACCCAGTGGCTGCCTGCAGTTGCCCAGGAATATTTGCATTTCCTGCTCCCTTCTAATGCTGCTGGCAGTCTCTGTTCCTGCCTTTCCTACCCCGGTGCGGGCTGCACTGCTTGCTCTGCCCTAGTTCCTGTTCTGGCCTTGCTTCTGCAAGTGCCAGAGGGTTCTCCCTGGCACCGAAAGCAAAATAGCTAATGGGAAAGTAAAGTAGAAGCATGAACTTTGCAACTATTAAACGTTCTAACTGACTAAAATTAATTTCTACTTCTTTTGTCTATTTCAGGCACAAATGAATCGAAATTCATCAAGTAAGTGTGAATCTTTAACTGTTAGTCTGGTTATGCTGGTCTTTTTGACTTAGCATAAATACATATATTGCTATTAGAGAATAACATTGATTTAAATGGTAGTATTTTAAATAGAAGAATTATCTATCAGTTCTAGGTCTCTTAATGATACCTGCCTTTGAACTACTCACAGAAAATCCAAAGGAAAAAAGTAAATTCTTTGGTGAAAGCTTCAGTGAGCTGTTAGAAGTTGTGAACAGGTCTCGCTGTATTCTGCACACTCAGGTGTTCTAGACAGTGATGAGGAACAGACCCAAAGGGGAGACCTCATGGAAATGATTGTTGTGGTGGTTCTTAAATTCCTGCATCCTCCCAAGTGTAGTATGATCCACAGACCAGTAAAGCTCACTCACTCACTCACTCACTCACTCAACTTTATGATAGAGCATTAGGCTCTATCCTTTCTTTGTTTTCCTTCCCAGGCCAGGTCAAGCAGTGGTTTATTGAGGAATAAAACTGATGAGAGCTATATAAGTTAAGGGAGAACCTTCAAGTCACCAATGTTTCCTCACAAAATGCATTACTTTGTGTAGTCCTCTGCTTTTAGAAAATATATCTGGAGCACCTGAATTTGTATCATCAGAAAGAATACAATTTTTTCCTTTCCATTTTAGTTATCCATGATTAATTTTAGTCTGCAACTGTTAATTTTTAGTAACTTTTTATAATGAAGCTAAATGCTTTTATTAAACAAATGGCTCATCTTTAATCATAATTCTGTATCTTTTGCTTAGGTGAAGAGTTAACGAAATCAAAGCTTTCTGCTCCAACTAATGAGTGAGTTGATTTTTTTTTAACTTTACCAAATGCACTTTGAAGGGAATTTGCTCTTATTTTAATCCAAGACTTAGAAATTCAGTATCGGCTGCCTGGGTTGGGTGTTTACTGGGCATTGTATATCTGTTGCCTTGTGAGAGTTAATGAGGAATTATATAGCAATGGAAAATTTTATTCTTCAACTTTTTTTTCCTCTATATTTTTTTCCTCTTCTTATGTATTTGCTTTATTCTCATTTGTCTTGATTGGTAATTACATGATTACTAATTATTGGTTTTAGTTCAAAATCTCAAGTTTTAAGTAAAACAGATACAGGTCTATCAACAATTTTACAGTGTTCCTTAAGATAATAAGCCCAAAATGTGGACAGATCTGTGTACAAGTCTCATACACTGGAAAAAAAAATTCATTTGCATACATATGCTTTGTTGATGTGAAAATGGACATTATGAAATACGTTTACACATGAACTTGTACCAAGGTAATAGAAGATAACAATTCAGATAGATTAATTATGTATAAATAGTTCCTAGACCTGCAATCTGTAAGTAGTTTTTATTTTTAGATATAAAGGCTGTTATTAACACAAGAGATGACTTACCAAAGTTGTCATTTGATTTTTATGAATATATCCATCTTTCATCTGTATTCCAATTGCAACTCTTTCTATAGAAAGGGGAACAGTGACCTACTGGCATGGGATCCACTCTTTAGCAGTTCTCTTGAATCTTCTTCTTCAGCCTCCTTGGCGTCCTCATCCTCCTCAGGTAAAATATTTGATAGCTGACCATGTTCCTGTGTGCCCTTGGGGCTGCTCTCTCCTTGTTGCTTTTTTTAAGCCATTGCAAAGGGATGTGCTCTGATTAGGAGGGTCTGGGAGTTAAATGGGGCTTCTCAGCAGCCGTGAGGTGGGATGAGCTTGCCCCGCGGGCAGGGATGGAAGTGTTTCCTTCTTCCAGGAAAACCTGTTAAGCCATGAACTGTCGAGTGCAAGGCTGCCATGGAGCTTGGCTGCAAGCCACTTGTTTCCTATAGGAAAACATGATTCTGTTGGGAAATGTTTTGGCTGGATCCAGGGGTGTGGGAGAAAACCTGGAATATGGGGAAGTTCCTGGCTAGGTGGAAGTTGGGGAGAGATTACAACAATGGAGTGGGGAGGGAGAAGGGAGCAAGAGGAAGATGCCATATGGGAATCCTGGTTGCAGGATTTTGTAGGATACTCGTGTGGGCAGTATAAATGTAAATGTTTGTGTATAAACCACTTGATGGAGAAGCCGATATTGGTTTTTGCGCTCAGAAGGGAGCAAGGGAGAGCGATGCCACTGAGCTCATGGGCAGGGGGATGTGTGTTGGAGAGGTTGGAAAGCCCTTTAGAAAAAAAGGAAGAGGAAGCCCGAACAAAAACACATCTTACTGCAATGTTAGGTCCCCTTTACTAAAAATAGTTACTTACGTTATTTGCCTTGATTGTCTTAGGGGACATAAGGTGGCCTACAGTACTGGCTAACAGCAACAGCTGTGCTGCTTCTGCAGTTCCTTACAGCTGCCTACTGCAGCTCTTTATTCCAAGTGCTGCACTTTGTGTAGAGAGCTTCTTTTGCTCTATGTCTGAGAAAGGAAGTATTTGCAATTTATTTTAGCTAGATATTCCTATCACAAAAAATATAAAATCAGTCTCATTTCTTAGTTAGTGACCTTGATTTTCCAACTCTTTTCCTCTGTAGCCAATCTTACAATCTTCAATCTGTAAGAGCAGTAAGAAAGAGTGCATGTAAAAATGGGGAATTCTGCACAGGAAATAATGCTTTTTCTCAAGCATCTCTTTAGCAATGATCAGTGTGACTATGCAGTCACTGGGATTTAAGTGGAAGTTATTCTTCCACTTACGAGTTCATGTTCCCTAAACGTTATGTTTTATAATAACAAATCTAGCTTACTTGAATCAATAGATCATCTCTTCCTCCCTTTGGTAGCCAATCAGAATATTGGCTAGGGGGACTAAATTTGTAAGGTATTTACATATATGTTAATGGAATATGTTGGGAAAAAAAAATAAAGGAGAGGAGGAAATGCTCATGCCAGCAAATGCCCCCTGCCAGCAGAGCCGTGGAGAGAGTATCCTCCAGGTGACAGGTAGCAACAGGTAATGGGAGCCAGTGACAGGGAGTTGGGGTCAGGGACAGATAGTTGGGGCCAGGGACACGCTCTCCAGTCAGATCAAGTTATGGCCTGTGCCTCAGAGCTGGAGGTCACTCATATGCACAGAACTTCATATTTCAATGAAAGTGTAAAAATAATCATAGTAAAAATATTTTTATAAGAATAAAAAATAGCTGAATAGTAAAAAATGTTGTTCTAGGACTTAACCAAGCCATCTACATTTGTAAAATCATCCATTGAGTTGAGTAGAGAGTGAGTTTTTTAAGGTCTGGCAAATTAGTAACGTGCGTTTTGGAAAATTATTGACTAAATCAGAAGTAGTTCACAGGGTTAAGTCAGGTTAGCTTCTAATGCTCAATAATCTGTAGCTCAGTTCTCAAGACTTCAAAAATACTCAGTTCTGATCTGGTGCTATTTACCTTGAAATCAAGGGGTTTTTTCTTCAGCTCAAAGGTGAATAAAGGTAAACTGCTTAAAACTTTTTCAAAAGTCAACCCAAAACATAAGTTGTTTATACAAAGAATAAATAACTTGATACAGATTATATATGTCATAGATTAGCATGTCCCACAGCTGTCCCACAGCTACTGTTTTTCTTCTCACTGTTAACACATTTCTTCAGATACTGTTTTGTAATTCTGCATTAATCACTGAGCACACAAACTGCATTGGTATTTGAGCAGCTTTTTATGGAACATAGACGTAAATTTTCTTTATCTGTGAATAGTCCCGCCTTATTAGAACCTTAAGCTAACTTTATTATCTTGAACAAACACAGCAAAATTTTTAGATGGTTATTGATATTGTACACATGCTTTTTTGTTTGTTTTTTTTTTTTATCTGGAAGAAAATATCTGGAAGAAACAGAGTAGGTGTGATTAAATGGAGAAGTTAAACCACGCTAGGAAAGAAGTTAAAAGAGTAAGCAAAGGAAGTAGGGCTTTAAGGGAAGAAATAGAGTAAGTGACATTTTGACTTAAGGAGTGGAAGGGGTCACAGCTGACAGTGTGAGTGCAGGGCGTGGGGGCTGTGGCCCGTGTTCTCCTTTCCTTGCAAGCGGCTTCAGCCTGGCAGAGCCGTTCGCTTTCCTGGTGGCTGCTGGGCATCCTGCAGTAGGTCATTCCGAGGGCGTTTTTGGAGACACCCTCCTGACATGGGTGCTGTGCTGGGTTTCACCGTCTCCCTCTTCCTGCAGCGACGCTGACGGAGCAGGACGCAGGCGGCGGCTCCGCGCCGCGGCCGCACAGCCGCTGGGTCTCTTTTGCCGAGGAGCTCCTCGCAGTCACACACACAGGCGCACACACCAAGGAGCCCCAGCAGTCGCATTCAAATGCCGGGAGCGCCTGCCTTGCCTCTCCTGCTTTGCTCGGGAATCCTTCCGACTGCTCTGCTTCTGAGGATCCGAGTGACCTTTGCAGTAACGCTGTGTGCCCTGACAAGTTATTCATTGAAGAAGCTGGCTCTGCTGCTGAGATCTCTTCCCCATCACCTTCAGCGCTGCTGGACTGTAGCTTAGTGCCTTCCTGTGCTCACACACGTACGGGTACGGCCAGGGTGCGTGGCGTGCGCTCCTCCCTAACCGCTCACCTCCGCAGCGAGCGCTGCCCGTCACGCTCTTGTTGCTCACCTCACCTTAATTAACTCATCTTTTCCTATAAACTGCACTAAGCTGCTTACCAGCACTGGCTTTTTTTCTTAGTTAGCCATTGAAATAAGTAATTAGCTTGAAAGAAAAAGGAAAAATCAAATTACTTAGCTAAAGGCATTGTTTTTTTAACAGCATGGAGCTTTGCTTTTCTAGAAGTAAAATACATTTTGTTGTGGAATGTCAGAGCAGTGCGAGATCTCAAGGATTAAATGACTGGATAAGTAGAAACGAATGCATTCTTAACTGGCTTTGTATAGATACTTTCAGATTAAATACAGTGAAATAGTTTGGAATAAAAACTGCCTTTTATCATTCAGTACTTTTCAATATCATTCAGAAAAAATCAGAGTTTTGATGATACTGTAGTAATACCACATACTAATAAAGCAAAGAAAATAAAAACATCTTTAGGGCAAGTGCACCGTGATTCCTGTAGCCGGTGCCCTGCAGTGGGAACCACTGTGGAGCCTGCCCCTCCACCTGCGTGTAACAAGGCAGGTCTTGAAGGGACAGCTGATATTGCGGCACCGAATGTGCCTCTGGTCTTAGCTTTGCAGCTCTGAGGGGGATGTGGTCAGGCTGGCCAAATCTGTTCCTACCCAAGTCAGGGGCCAAAGTCCCTTCCTTCAGCGAGAGCACAGTGGGGCTGAACGGCTGTGACAAGAGCAGCACTGTGCTTGATAGTGCTGCCACTGTCACCGTGTGTTCGGGTGTAAGCCTCTCTGAAGTGTAGGTTGGGCACACTCATCGGGTGGCATCTAACAGTTATTTTGAGGTACATTTCCAGTCAGAAAAGTGACCATGTGGAAGTGGCATTGTTCCGCTGCTCGCATCACCGTCTGTCCTCTGCTTTTGCGAGGCTGGGGAGGGCAGAGGGGCGGCGGCGTCTGCCTTCTCCAACCCCTCATAGCTCGGCTAGGAGGTAATGAGGAGTCGCTGTGTTCTTGTAATCAGCAGAATCATTTCTTAAGTTCTCTCCGGTGCCTACCTGTTGAAGGCAACAGGATTTTTGTGGGCATAGCTTCACATAAACAGTGTTGCCATGTCAGCCAAGACCAAGTAGTCCTCTGAATTGCCCATTTATGGTGAGACATGAAGGACTACCCCACATTCTGAATCTACACAGATTATGCAGAAAAGGGAGCTGAGCTAAAACTGTTATTTAGCACACAAACCTGTGAGGGAAGTTCACACAAAATCGTTTGAGAGCAACGAGAAAGCCCATGGTGCCACTTTTAGAGTCACTTTTCAGGTATCACAGGACCCCATTTTAAGAACAATTTTGTTTTCGTGGTGGATCTACAAAACAGGGCTTATAAAACAGGAGCTTTAACAGAAGCACAGTTTCCAGCGATTCTGTTCCAGTGAGTATATATTCACGTTCCATGTGACTTTTCTAACGTTGGTTTCCTTAAATTTGCTGTCTTGCAGCGAGGCCCACGACTCCTCTTTCAGTGGGCACAATCGTACCCCCTCCAAGGCCTGCGTCGAGACCAAAGTTGGCTGCGGCAAAACTCAGCGGCATTACAGAAATAGTACGTGTGGGCGTCCACTACGGAGGCGGCCTGCGCCAGCACCTCGGCCTCCCTGCAGCCCTGTGCGAGGCCTGGCCTCCCTGCGTTTCAGCAGTGTGGGGCGGGCTGTGGGGCGCCCCATTTCGGGCCGTCAGGGCTCTCCCTAAGCGCTCTCAAATGCCCTGGGCACACAGGGCTTCGCATTCAGCCTCACACAGCCACTGACCGGCTGCGGCGGAGCCACATGAGCTCAGCCTGAGTCCCGGCCTTGATTCCAGGGCGGGGGAACGTTCCCTGCTTTGCACTCAGAACTGGCTTAGATAAAGCACTAGAAGTAGTAATGCTACAGAAATGCTGTGGTGTTGAGTGGGGAATTAAATAGTCTTCTGTAAATTTTCAGTCTTTTGTTCATCCTTTAAGATCTCTTTCTGTCTGCCTAATGCTCTTGTGATGTCTTGTGTTAAGCCCAGGCCGTTCAGCCCTCCCCTGACGTCCAACTCGAGCCCGCCGCCCGCGGCTCCCTTGGCACGAGCAGAGAGCATCTCCTCCATATCCTCCTCCGCGTCCCTCAGTGCAGCAAACACCCCCACAGTGGGTAAGTTGCCTTCACCATTTTAACTTCCTTCCAAAGGAGTGTGAATCCGCGCCAGCTTCCAGCAGAAAGTTAGGGAAAACTTCCTGTTGGAGGAGGCAGCTGCAGCGCGGGTCTGGCACAAGCATCCCTTGGCGCAGCCACCTCCAGCAGACCCGGGGCAGGTGGCAGATTTGCCTCGTCTGCTGATGCCATTAGAGCACGTTCCTAGTGAAGGGACTCCCAAACTGACCCGCAGTGTGGGTCTTACCTGGCGTGCCACGCTCGTGTTCATCAACCACAGCATGTTGTCGTGTGTTTTTTCTGAGAGATGTTGTTGTACTCGGTTTATGCTAGCTCTGCTGCACGTGGGTGACGGGCAGCCCTGCGTGTCTCTGTATGTGTGTGTGTGTGTCCATGTGCACGTGTATATGTGCGTGTACCTGTGTGTGTGCATGTATGTGCATGTGCACACACTCAGCACCGCAGAGGAGCCCGGCAGCCCCGGTAGCGCCTGCCCTGGGGCAGGAGAAGCAGGATGGGGCTGTGCAGGCGGAACTGCACCCACAGAGACCTGGAAAGGGCAGGAATGGGGCCAGCAGCCATACAGGGCTGCACGAGGGAACCTTGGGACACTGGGCAGGGTGAGGACATGCCCTGCACACAGGTCTGTGCTGCTTGGTTGGTTGGTTGGCTGGTTTTAACACTCCCAACATTTTCCTTGCCCCACTAGTTCTGAATAATGGGGAGGTGACTATAATTATCTTGTGTGCGTATATACAGATAAATATATATATATATCCACACACACACACACATATCTGCAAGACTATAATTGTCCTGTAGACTTGTACAATTATATTTCTGAGAATATGTCCTTATGCTTTAGTCTTATTTTCATTTGCATATTATTTTTATATATATGAAATGGTTTGACATCTGTTATTGCTTGAAGTATTTTGTTTTCTTGCAATGTTTTGTTTGATTTAAATGTAATAGAGGATGATCTTTTGGTTGGAACTCTTCCTACCATGGAAAAGCTTTGTGAGACATCAGCAGGTATGGTACCAGAAGCAGACTTACATGTCAACTAATCATCCTAATGCACTACACCCAATAACTCTGTATTTCTTTTGATCCAATATTCCAGATGTTTCTGGTGTGGGACAGATATAAGTAGCTTTCAAGTTCACTTAACAATGTTAATGTTGCTGTAATCATCAAAAGTAGCTAGAGCCAATGTTACAGAACAAAGTCTGCATCCGCCACCACCAAAACAAGGTGAAACTTGGTCTCGTGTCCTCAGTTTTATCACGCCTTTCATTCAAGAAAGAAGAATATATTGAGGTTACTTTAACGGTCTTTGTTCTTGTAAGACAAGTAGGTAAAACCTCATTATTCTTACATCTAATTCAAAGCTGAATTGAAGATTTCTTTTATACTTTTTATTTTCAGCTGCTCAACAATTTTGCTATTTTTAAAACTACCTGAGTCTTTGCTCCTCAACTAAACTGAAACAGTTCAACCCGTTTATTGAGTTCCCCTTTCTGCCTTCGACGTGACCAGCAGTGGGTTTGTTCTGCCCTTGAACTGCCCTGTCAGCTGGAGCGGTGGCTCTGTGGGCCCGGCTGGCACATCCCGGCTCCGGCAGCCCGAGCCGGAGCAAATCCAGCTGCGCGGCTGCGGAGTGGTGGGAGCAGCGGTTGCTGCCCCGCACGGCTGCGCGCGTGTCCCCAGCGCCAGCACAGCAGGGTGGCGGCGCCGCTGCAGCTCCCCTGAGGGGCAGAGTCGCGTTGGTTCAAGCTGCTGGTTTGTAGAGCTTGGGTCTTTCTGGAGCACGAAGGGCCGGGCAGGAAGCGGGGCTGCCGCGTCGGGACGGCGCCCGGGCTGCACCTTGGGGCGACGCGCGCGCCTGCCGATTCTGGCGCTCGACAGCCCTGTTCCGGGCACGCTCGCTCCGAGGCAGCCCAGCAGCCCCTGCCGGTGTCCTGCCCGTGGCGATGCCGCTGCTCGGGGTGTTACTGTGCTGCTGTGTTAGCGCTGCCGCGACGGCAGGCAGAGCCTTCCTGCAGTTCCCTGCTTCTCTGAACAGAGCGCAGTGAACACGCGGATCGTTATCAAAGCTCAGTTTCATCACATCCTTGTTCTTTGAAATCCCGATTTCTGACATCATTGAGAATCACAGCTTCTACTGCTTGTTTCCCAGGAAGACTTTGGAAACAAGACCCACGAGTGCTCTGAAAGAGCACACGAGAATGAGCTGCTGCTCTTAAGTCAGTGCTTTGTGGCCAGTGCTGCAGTACTTCTCCCATCTCGCGTTTTCTGATTTTGAACACATGTGGCTAGGGAGTCCAGTGCATCTAAGAAGGCCTAAATGTTCTTTCAAGGTGCTGAGAAATGCTTAAACATTTTACTGCGTGAAACAAGAAAAGAGGAGCGGAAAGTAAAGGATGGTAGTAGCAGGTGGGACCAGGTCCCCTTTTTATCCCTCACTTTGTTACTTCTACCACTTAGCCATGACTTCAAGCATGAAGTCTATTAGACCCTGAAGAGCAAACGAGGTCTCAGCTTCCTCTGTGCTTCTGAAAGAGCTCAGAAGAGGGCCCAGCCACTGCTCTGGAGTAATCTGACACTGGCAGTCCTGTGCTTCGTTTCTCCTTGATGGTGCCAGCTAATATATCTTAATTTTGCCCATGGAAAGGTTCTGCCTGCTTTGGGATAGATGCGTGGCGCGACACGGGGCAGTTCAGCAGCAGCATAAGACGAGTGTAGGATGCTCTGCCCATGGCTGCTGTGCTGCGGGGACCGGGAAGAGGGGCCAGGAGGCGCCGGGTGAGGCGGCTCCTCTGCGGCCGGCGCCGCGGGGCCTCCCTCCCGCTGCGAGCGTGGCGGGGTGCGAGGCGGCGCCGCGGGAAGGGCGCCCTCTGCTCCGGCGCCGTCATCCCTGCCGCTGGCTGGAGCAGTTAGCCAGTGCTCGGTATTTCACTGGGGAGCAGCGGTGCTGCTGTGCTTGCATTGCCGTTCATCCATGCCATAGTGAGTTCCTTGGTGCTTCCCTGACCACTTTGTCATGTCTGTCCACACAATAAGCATACAGTAGGGATTTTATTTAAGTAATACAGTTAACATCTAATTTCCTTTGGACCTGTTGACAGCCTCCTGTGCATTCCCTTGTGTCTGTCCGTTTTCCAAACGTCCCGCCGATGCTTCCGTTTTCTTAGGCTGCTGAGCAGCGTTGTCAGGCAGTGCCTGTACTGGGCTGCCTTGCTCCTTCTCTGCACACACTCCGAGTGATGCTTCAGGCTCTCCGTGCTGGTAGAAACCTTCCAAAATGACGGCGTGAAGCACTTGGAGTCTCCTGCTCAGCTGCTTGAACATTAAACCTGTGACCTGTGTGTGTATTCTAGGTGTCTCGCGTGGCCCCAGCCCCGTCAGCCTCGGAAGCCAGGACACCCTGCCTGTTGCAGTAGCGCTCACTGAATCTGTGAACGCCTACTTCAAAGGAGCAGACCCCACCAAGTTAGTTACAGAGTGAATTGTTTTGAGTGTAACAAGTTTCAATGAGAAAATACTCCGTTTATACTTCATATACTTGGGGGGGGTGTATATGTATGTATACATATACATCTGTATATATACATACATATGGGGAAGGGGGCTTCCCTGCTTGTGTCGGTGCTCACACCCCAAGGCTTTGGGATAGCCCTGCTCTACAAGAATGCACCGAGTTCGCAGAAATAAAACTGGGATTTTGGTGTGGTTCAGTAGGTGCTGTATGTAAACTCAGGCCTCTGAAGGCACCTCATTCCCTTTCTCCCATCCCTGCTCTGCGAGTTAGGCCTGGCCTACACGCGGTCGTGCCATGTTTTCAAAGCCTAAAAAGCATCCCCTCCCCACTACTGTATGCTTAACCAACTCGTTCCATGTGCAACTCATCTGACTTCGAGTTGAAAGTCATAGTACATTATCACAGTGCCATATTACCCCATCTAAAGTTAAAATTCGTGTTTTAAGTTCAGATTCTGGAAGTGCAGTAATTTGCTTTAAAGTTACTATTAAAAGTTGGCAGTTAAAACTGATGTCCTTGTACTCTTGTAGGTGTATTGTGAAGATCACTGGTGATATGACAGTGTCATTCCCAAGTGGAATTATTAAAGTCTTCACCAGCAACCCGTCTCCAGCCGTACTTTGCTTCAGGGTAAAGAACACAAGCAAACTGGAGCAGATTCTTCCAAACGCACAACTTGTGTACAGGTTTAGTATCTCTTGTTTTATATATATATATATATTTATTTATTTATATTTATATTTAACTGTAACCCACATGAGCTGCTAAATGTGACTTGCTGTGCACTTCAGTCAGACTGCTCTGCAGGCTCTGCTGTGTGTAACCAGCAGCTTGAGTCCACGCATCTTTTTTAGCTCAGTTTCTCTCCACTACCAGTTTTGGAAAATCTCAATCATGACTGGACTTGAAACTACAACTGACTATAACAGGAGATAAAAAATAGTTTGCAAATGCAGCACTATCACATGCATTTCATAAATGAAATGGTTTTTATAAACAACTTGTTTAAACCATTTTTTTTTCTTCACAAACAAACTATAGGAACAAGCAGCCTAACTAATTACAGATTCAGAGGAAAACTACATGTCACAACTAGGACACTCTTAGGTTGGCCTATAGATTTCTTTAAAGAGCAGTAATGACAGTAAGATTAAATGATGAAAAAGCCTTAAATGGAAGACAAGTAATAGGAGCAGGGCCTGTTCGTGTTCGCACTTCCTGGGGAATTTTTTTGGAAGCTACTGGATCGTTTTTATGGTAGGGGGGACTGTTGTGTAACTGAGTCTCTGGTGGATCCCAGCAAGCCTTGCAGACTCGTCAGAAGCAAAGAGATTCTACTGCAACATTTGGACACCTTTTCAAAACCTGAGCCACATGCATCTGTTCCTCTACATTTTTATTTCATTTTGATCACTGATACTTCATGTTTCATCGTGCAAAACTATTCATCACTTTTTTTGACATAACGGTTTAGCAGAACCTTATGTGTGACTTATGTTGAAAAAGCTAATTGTGGAGAAAATGTGAAAATGTCCACTATTATTGTCAAAATGTGACATTTCACCTTTAATTAGGAAATGCCATGGATAAGCAGCTAAACCCGTATTGTAATAATTTAACTTTTCATCAAATACTGCAAAGCTTCACCCGTGTACATCTGATGCACCAGTACAGCTCAAAACCCAGATTCTTCATGAACAGTCTTAAATACACACAGAAATAGGAAAATATGTAACTAACTTGGAATGCAGCTATCACTAATTTGATATTCATAATAAATTGAAAATAACTTTCAGTTGGAAAGTAACATAGAAAAAAAAAAAGAAGCCTAATATGTAAAGAGATGGCAATGCATACAGCACCGGTCTTAATTAATGTTATGCCATAATCAAAGCAGATAATGATTTTTTTTACAGCTTACTGCAAATTGGCTAATGCTCCTTTTCAAACACTCCTTTCATCCTCCCCTCTCACACATCCTCACAACACCGGTTTGTACTAAAAAAAAAAAAAAAAAAAAAAAAAAAATCAGTTTTAGTGACTGTAAAGCCAAAGGCAGCAGTAACTGTGTGGGCTGAGGCAGGAGAGCGCCCCGCGCCCTGGCGGGAAGCTCCTCTCACACACGGCAGCCCTTAGGGTGCCTCGGTGTGGAGGCAGGTGCAGTTAGGTGGGGCAGAGCATTAGAACAAAGCCTTACTTGAAATAGTGAAGAACTGGAAGAGCTAAGATTAATGTTAGGCATTTAAATTAATGAAATTCAATGTTGCAGTCTGACTCCTGTCTTTTTCTCCGCAGTGATCAATCACAAAGTGACTCCAGCACTAAGGATTTCTGGATGAACATGCAAGCTATAACTGTCTACCTCAAGAAATTGTCAGAGCAGAATCCAGCTGCATCCTATTATAATGTGGATGTTTTAAAGTATCAGGTAAATACATGGGTGGTTGTGAGTTTTTTGGGTTTTTTTTTTTTTTTTTTCAGCTTTATTTAGCAAAGCAAGGACAGGAAACAGCCTCAAGCACCAGAAAGATGTTAATTTTATTAATTTTATTAATTTTATTAATTTAAAACAAAAAAAAAGGCTCCATTTTAGCCTTTATCAGTTTTTAGAATTCTGAGATAAAGGCCTCAGAAGCTGGTTGTTCCCTTGATCTTGTGTCTCTGTTTGGCGTTACACTTGTTACCATAATTCTGCCCAGAAGGACAGAGAGTTTTAATTAATAAAGTTGCTTTTAATGGTTTACTCTTTTACAGGTATCTTCCAATGGCATCCAGTCCACGCCGCTGAATCTTGCCACGTACTGGAAATGTAACGCCAGCACTACGGACGTGAGGGTGGACTACAAATACAACCCCGAGTCCATGACCGTGCCCAGCGTGCTGTCCAACGTGCAGGTTGTGGTGCCCGTGGACGGAGGAGTAACCAACATGCAGTCACTGCCACCTGCAAAATGGTATCATCAGTACTTTTATTTTATTACTTCTGGTCATGTTAGTGAATTTGTTTTCGTTATAGAGAGCCTGAAAAAATCTCACTAGAAGAAAGAGCTAATACTTTATTCTCCTGCTAGAATATATAGTAGCTGATGTTTGAGACATTGCTTTGGTCCCAAACAGATCACATACAGTCAACACATACAAACCAAAATAAGTCTGTATGCACATGTACCAACTTGTATAATAACACAAGCCCTTACGAAGTTCTCAAGGTTTATTTGATCTAATAGACAGAATAGGTATTTTTAATAACACGATTTGAAATCAAAATTTCTTAACAGTCAAAAAGTATGTGTGTGTCTGTATGGCTTGTCAGAGAAAGACATGCAGGTCGTAGACCCACTTCCCGATGATTTTAACTTAAATCCCAGCCGCTAACTGAACTTGTTTTGTACAAAACGCGCGTGAGCGACGAGCTCCTTGCGAGCAGCGTCACCGAGGCCTCGGGCGCCTGCGGGTCCACGGGGCGCCGCTGCGGCCTGTGCCCAGCCGCGCTGCAGACCGCAGGGCCCCTCATGTGGTCAGTTTTCCACAGACTGCTTAAAATTGCTTTTAAAAGATATTAAGAAGTTAAAATGATAAAGTGTTTTCGTAAACCTTCATTTAGAGCATGTAACTTGTGCATACACGGTCTGTAAGGTGTAAATCTAGGGAATTAATAAAGCGGCCCTTACCAACCCAATAATAACCAGCCCAGCTTTCCCTTACAGGAGTGCAGACCAGATGAAAGCTTACTGGAAAATATCCAGCATTTCAGAGAAGTCCGAGAATGGAGGCAAGTTTCATTCCTTGTCCTTCCTTGCACAGGAAAATGTTAACAGTAAAAATGTCCTCGTTTCTGCCCCCGCTGTCATGCCTGCTGCCACTTCTGCTGCTGCTGTCCTCTTTGCCACCTCACCATCTTCTCCATGGAATTCCTCCCAGGAGATTCCATTCACAGAGACATCAAAAAAAAAAAAAAAACCCACTCACTATTTATTAATTATAAAAGGAGAAATGGTCAAACTACCTGAAAGCCATTTACTAGTTGTAAAATAGGACTTCGAGATGTTATTCAGAGAATACATTTAATACCAATTATTTAAACCTTGTATTTTTTCACACCTTATAGTGCAAGAACAAAACTGCTTAGAACAGAAAGAGGGAGCAGTGACTTTTTTTATATTTCAGGTTTGCCTTTATTTAACTACAAAAGTGTATTTAGCTTTGAATGCTGCTTAATGCTGGTGATGGAGGTCAGCTTTGGCAGTTCATAAAAGATCAAATGAAGGTTTAGGACCATGTATTTAATGAGGCTCGTCTTTATCAGAAAAATAAATACCAATAGTTTTTTGCTTCTATGAGATGCGCTACTTACAGGTACATTTCTTCCTGTGGGGTTGGTTTGGTTCATGTAGGCTCAGCCCGACAGAGTACAATAGTTAAAAACCGGTGGCCTTTCAGGTCCCTGGATTAAAAAGCACAACCTGAGATCTAAGTGGCCTTCAACAAAAACTTACAGAGCAGCAAGCATCAACAATAATAACAGGGACCAGTAAGGAATGCCCTGTAATAAAAACAGACATTTCCTTGGTTGTCTGTTGTACACACTCGGCTCGGAGCATAACCTTGTAGCAACATGTGCTTTGCACTAACCCCTTCCTAAGGCCTTGTCTTAGGCAGAGTAGCAGAGACAAATAAAGAACAGCTCTCTTCTCTTACAGCAAGGTATGTAGGCTGGCCTATAGCAGCAGATATTAAAGATAATTATAAAGATAAATGATGTATACTATATAGATGTAGTACATATATTATCGTATAATACATAATTATATATATATGAAATATATTATAAAGATACCCTGTTCATTTTACTTCTTCCCCCTCCCCGTTTGGGGGGCAGTGTTGCAAAGCGCCCAGCCTTTCCGTTGTGCTCTTTTCCCAGGCTCTGGCTCGCTGCGGGCCAAATTTGAGCTGTGCGAGGGCCCCAGCAAGCCGGCCACGCTGGCCGTGCAGTTCGTGAGCGAGGGCAGCACCCTGTCGGGGCTGGACGTGGAGCTGGCGGGCAGCGGCTACCGGCTCTCCCTGCTCAAGAAGAGATTCGCCACTGGTAAGAGGCGGCTCCCGCCCCGCTGCGGAGCAGGGAAGCGCAGATAAAGATAGGGATAAAGATCGGGATACAGAAAGAGCTACTCGTCCTTAAACTGTGCCCGAAAACGGCCTCACGTGCCAGTTAATGACGCTGATCCCAGAGAAATAGGGACAAGCTGCTGTATCTCCTGAGGCTAAAAAAGCAACCTTTGTTTTTCAGGACGATATATGGCAGACTGCTGATGAACCCGTGAAGGTGAATGGATCAAAGGAGAGCAAGTAGCTCACTCTGCCCGCTCTACTTTTCAAACACTATTTTAACATGCATTAATTTTTTAAACTTTTTTACTTACTTTGAGGCTGACTACAGACCAGAAGATGCACTTTTAAAAGTCATTTTGCAAACTTTTTATTATTTTATGATAGCACTGAAGTGGATTTCAACACTGTCTGTAAATGATCAACTGCAATATTTGGGGAAAAAAAGTTAAAATTTTAGTAAATTTATATAGATGAAATCAAAATAGTAATCATTAGTTCTAATGAAAGTATGAGATTGTATGTTATACTGTAAACAAAAATGTAGAAGAGCAAGCGCTTTCCATAAGTAATACTCATTTTTCAGATTCTTTTAATTGCTGATGTTTAAAGAAAAAAAAAAAGTCTCACAAAATTCTTCCATCAACTCAATGTGCCATGAAATTGGTTGTTAGAGATGCATTAAAAAAAAGTAACTTGATGTCCATGTATCACATATTAATAACATGTAAGTTTTTTTAGTTTTTTTTTTTCCTAAGTGCAATGTGTTACAAAATGGCAAAAGACAGAAGAGATTTACTTCTGCAGTTAGTACCTTGATGGGTGTTGTGATTGTTTGAGTTAATGCTGTAGAGTTAATTTATTTTTATACGAATTGCATAACATTTGTGCCTTTTTAAAAAAAAAAAAAAAAAAAGTGCCTCTCCAGTTGCTTATTCCTGTGCCTGACTTCCCTTTGCCGAGTTTGGCCGTTCCCTAAAGAAAGCATGTTGGGGTTTCATACATACAACTCCTATAAAAATTCTTCTGGCTGGGATTTAGAAGGGAAATTTATGATAACTGGAGACTTTCATAAGAGGGTTAAACAACTGAATTACTTCCTTATGGGGTTACTGCAATAAATGCAGCCCTAGTAAAGGGAAAAGCATCAAACAAGACTTGGAAATTTCAGTACGGTTACTTTAATGTCACCGAAGTGGAGAACCACAGAGCAGCAAAACCTGCCTTGCAAAGGCCAAGAGCATTTCCCTTCACTTTGCCTGTAAGGCTTTGCAGCTCAAGTGCTTTGGGGGTTGTATGACATGAATGGAAATGCACACATTTATGCCTTGTTATTGGAAGAAATAACATTTTAGAAAAGTAATTTTTGGCAGCAGGATGGCAAGTACTGCCATTTATATTTAAATTTTATCTGTAATCATCAGTTTTATTATTTGCATTGTCATCTATCTCCTTTCTACAACTTAAGCACAAGGAAGTGACATAAAGGTAACATTTTTTAAATTCATTTTTAATGACTTTAATGACAGACCGTTTTATTTTTTTTTAATTAGAAACATCTTTTTATGTATTTATACTACTATTGTTTTCTCAGTACAGAAATCAGAAAGTACTGGGGCAAAAGAATTTAATAACCTGTAAATTGAAATTTTATATTACCATTCTGCGTACCAGCATCTATTTCAAATAAAACTTGTTTGAACTAATTAATAAAACAGTAATGAATTGAGCTGTTGAAGCTTCACAAAAAATAAAAAGAAATAAAAAGCTGTGTAGAGGCTCTGAATTCTAACATATACTACACACGTTGGCAGTGGGGTTTCCACTGCCAGCACTAACAGCTGCTGTACAGTAGAGCTCAGTGGGAGGATGTACAGCCCATAATTTGCTAACCTTTTTGAATGGTGAAAATAACGTTTCTAACGCCTCTCAAATGGTACCGTCTTTCCTGGAGTCTTAATTGTAATCTGCTTTGCAATCAAACTGTGTTTAACACAGCAACACTTTATTACTGAAAACCCCAAACCATGATACCGTTTCTAATCAAGTATTACTTTCATTTCTGCATTAAATGAAGTAGTTGTGTTGCAGCACTTTTAAACTAGCCTTCATTCAGGTGATTAAACATACATTTACATTGGGTGCAGGTTACAATTTTGAAGCCATACAAGTTTATATAAACTTTTTGTAAAGAAATTCAGAAACAATGTAAAAAGTACATGTAGCTATCTGATGAAAAGCCTATGTAGCAAGCTGGTTCTTGCTTGTGTATACAGCAGTACCCTTTGTAGCTGCCTCCTCTTAGGGAAACTAATTTGTAAACACAATTCTAAAGGATCTGAATTTTTATGGATTGTTACTACGTCAGACTGTAAATTAGAACATACAAGTTTATCTTACAAAATTGTAAATACTTCTGATTTTTCATAAAATGTAAATTTTAAAGAATTTTGCACCCATAATAAACATGTAATATATAATTTAAACACTGTCTTATGTTGTTTATACTTTTGAAATCCATGCCATAGAGCTTCAAAGCAGTGAGATCCCTGTATTTACCAAATATAAATATTTTTAAAGTGCTGTTTTGCAAGTGGTAAGTGGTGGTAGCCATAACGTGAACTGTTTCATGTATTTTAAAAGTACAACAGCTCAGGGGGTAGATGGCTTCTGCAAAGGCTTGCAACTGCACTACACTGTTACGACCTACCTAGTAAGTTACATCAGGCAAAACTGCAGTTGTTGATCTGAAGGATTTGGTAGACATCAGCTCGCTCCAGCTGCTTTCTCTAAACTTCCTGATGCCATGAAATGCTGTGTGTGCCCTTACATTGTCAGCATCGGGAAGGAAAACATTAGCAAGATTAAAGTAATTCTTTCAACTCCACATACTGCATCAGTCAGAAAGTACACATGCCATGAGCGCTACTTTGACACTCTGTGCCAAGTGTCAACCTCCCCAGGTCCAAGCACAGAAAAGTTGAAAGTTACAACTGAAGTGGGACAACCAGATGTTTGCTTCCCGCTCGCTGAAAGAGCCGTAACGCGTTAAACCGCCTTCCTCAGCCGGCAGGGCATCGTGTCCCTGAGTGCCGTCCTCGTCGTGCTGGAGGGAGCAGCCCCAGGCCTGTTTCTGCTCTCCTGCTGCAAGGCAGGGAGCAGAACAGGGAAGTGCCAACGCCCGGGCCCCTGAGCCCAGGACTTGGTGCCACCGCTGCAGTCTGTGCCACCCCTGCAACTGTGGCCGGTCGCTGCTGGGGCCGTGGCAGGGCTCTGCCCAGGCCCCGTGCCCCTTCGCACGAGGGCTGCTGTGCGGGCGGCCGAACCGGCTCCGAGTGACCTTTGCTACGGGGAGCGAGCGCCCGGTGCCACCGGCGGCTGCCACCAACTGGATTCACACTGTCCCGGCAGCCTGCCGCTATCTCGCCCCACCATCAGTTGGCTTTTCAGGGACAAGCAACCACTTCCACCATCGCCAAGTACTGGTTATGCAGAGCATTTGAAGGAGCTAAAATATTTGATTATCAGCAACTCCGACTGCGTGGGAGTAACAACTGTGGTGATTTGTCATCTGACTGCAAAAAGTCTGGCATCACACCAAAAGCCATTACACTGCAAGTCTCGCATGTTTGGGAGGACTAAGATAGGCATCTTAATATCTGTGTACTTTTTGTTTTCTTGGAATTGCTGTTGATAATTGGGTTCCATTTCAGTTGTCATGAGAGGGTAATTTTACCTCAGAGCATGCAAAAAAAAAAAAAAAATAACTCAAGAAACTTCCATGGCCAGACTATGCCAAAGATAATTCAAGCTGCTAGAGCAGCAAATAAGCGTATTGAGCTGTGAGGTGCTCTGACTGCACTGATAGCCACAGCGCTTAGTTGAAAACCTAATATTTATCCCCAACTTCTTGCATGTTATTGCACTAGTATTTTTTCCTCAAATTTAACTTGACCTCTCTCTCTACTGACACACTAAGTTCACCCTTAGTTAATTCAATGCCAACAGAAATCACACTCCTTAAAGAATAAAACACTCAGACACACAAGGCCTCTTCTGGATTGATACACACATGATAGACAAACTCTTCATTTCCCCTCTCTACTTTCACTTCATTTTGAACCCAGGCACGGGTGTTTCTTTCCATTTTTAAATCTGGGATGACTATTTTCATTATAATACCCTAAAACACGATTTTTATCTGCTACTGTTTCAGTTCACATTTCTTGTTTAAAGCTTTGTGTTCTATGAAGCGTCCTTTTTTTCCATTCCTAAATAATGTTTATTTAAGAAACAGGGTAATAACACATTCCCTCCCACACCCTATGTCATGGCAGCTTCACCATCACCAGCATCCACCAGCTTCCCTCTGAATGCACCTTCCAGGAAACATGGCTCAGGAATGAGCACTTTGGATGCAGGAAGCTGAGAGCAGCAGGGTGTCAGGGGAGGCCCCCCCGCCCCTGCAGTCTCTGCTCAGCTCTTCCTTCACCACGGCTAAAAGCAGCAGCAATGTTTCTCCAGCAGTCGTTGCTGTTTTGCCCTCTAGCCCCAACCTGCCTTTGCATCAGAGACACTCCCTGTACAGAATCTACAGCTTCCACAGCCTCCCGTTCACCACTGCTCTCCTTGTTAAGGGCTGTGAACGGTCACCACTAACAGTGCCGTTAAATGTCCAGTGGTTTGTGCTGAAAGCCCCTTGCTCTGAGGCAAGCTGCACAAACACAACTTTTAAAGCTGCTAGTTCCCTTCTGTGCTGCACTTTGCTCCCCCAGAGCCTAAAAGGACTCTGGCTTTTGACAGAGACCCTAAAGCCAAACAGGTACCAAACACTGCTAGAGCCCACCTAAGTGCCAGGCCTTGTTCCTGAACATATTTCTCCACCTTCCTTCAGGAACCCTCTGCCTCTGTGACCCAGGAGCCTTGTGCTTCTGAGCAGCCCCTGCACTCAGAGCACACACTGAGCACTTGTGTCGCACTGAGCTCCTTCATGGGACAGTCATGTTCTGTGATGTGCCATCCTCACAGCTAGCTCACGCTTGGAAGTCTCACCAGCCTCTTCCCATCTGCGGGCCAACTGCTGCAGTAGCGCTGCTCCTGAAATCACTTTCCAGGGCTCTGAGTCGCTCAACATACTGCAGACCCACTTCCAGTAGAGAAAAGTTACGTGATAACCACGTGACAGAATGAATTTAGATTTATTTAATAAGCTACATGCAGAAAATTACTCAGAACACTATAGGATAAGGAACAACTCCAGAAGAAAACAAGAGTATCCTTGACACATCTGCTGCATGGCAGCAAACATCATACTCCCAGCTGAGAGAATGGGGAGAACATGTAAAAGAATAAACAGGGAATCCAGTGCTGCCTGCAGCTTTGCCCCTTTAGCTAAGGGGATTTTTATTGTTACTGCTGCTGTTACTTCATTGAAAGAATAAGCATGTCACACGCCTCACACACGCCTCACACACGCCTCAAATAATGATTCAGATGAGTGTGATCAAGCACACCAGGTGCATCTTTCCATGTTCCTCCCAAACTTCACTGTTTCTGCAGAGAATACGCTTAATATCTTGCCAGCACTACACTGGTACTTCTGGAACCAAAGTAGTAATAAAAGCACAGCAAGGAATGTGTTAGAAACAGATGTGGTGATATTTGTGAGCTGAATAAACTGGTATTTAGACTGAATAAACTACCATGTTTCCAGAACTTGGACATTCAAGTTCAGTGTTTGTATGAGAACTGCACAGGGCTGACAGTAAGGACCACGACCCAACTGTTTCTGGTCTGCTTAAATCTTTACCTGGAAAACATTACCATTTGAATCCTAGGTTCTCAGCAAGACCTCATCGCGGAGACTCCCTTCCATTTAACCATTTCCTGAATTCAGAAATCATGCTCTGATAAACCTGAATAGCAGCTGCTTTCCTCCAGGAGGGTCTTAAACTTTGCCAAAGCCCCTGGACTTGCTGACTGTAATCAGATCATTTACAGTGCCAAAAATTCAGCCCAAAATTCAGAACGAAAAGGCTGCCATAACATATAAGGAAAGTACTTTCTCATGTTGTCACTGAACAATCATAAACTAGACATCTTAAGATGGCTACCTGTGTTGCAGAATCATGTATCAGTGAGAATAAAGTCAGCACAGTTGATCACATTTGTTGTTAATAACCAGGTTTAAGCAAGCAGGAGGGGCACGTGATTCTTCAAAAGGTCAACTCTTTGGTTTTCTGGATGCTTTTAAAGCAACAATCTCATCGTTGAGAGGACTCCAGTAATTAAAAGCAATTAAACTGGCTTCACGATGGACTGGTTGAACAGCCCAATATTGTCAAAAAGAGGAGGCCATGCTCTTCCTCTTCACTCCACCCCCTGTCTTACCTTGCACCAGCACAGCTGCGCGATGCATCTTCCTGTGAGTCAACTCACCAGCCTGACATAGGCCTAGCCCCGAAGCTTGGCTGGGTTAGCCAGCTGAGGCAGCTTGCAGCAAGGGCTCGCAAACACCAAACACGGGAAATCCCACAGAGCAGAGAAGGGTAGGGAATGAGATGTCTCCTTGCGGCAGCAACATAGCATAAGCCCAGCTCACCTGTTCATAAAAGAAAGAAAGAGAAAAAAAAACAAAAACACGGAGTGTAAGTAGTCAGTTCACATTATAGTCATTTTCAATAAAGTATTTCATTGCAAAAACTCATTTAGTTATAACTGTAAAAGATTAATAAGATAAGCAAATAAACGCAGGAGGGTAAGGAAGTCGATGGTGGCTGGTAGCAGGTGATAAAAATGAGTTTTGGGGGGAGCAAAACAAAGCAGAATAACTCCCACTCTGTAGAATCAATACTACAAATTACAACACAATGCCTAAAAAAAAAAAGGAAAAAAGGAAGTGTTCAATAAATATTTTTCCTGTATTTGTTAAAGAATTTTTAGATTATGTAATACACAGTAAAAATACTTTGCATTCCAGTACTATCTAACAGAGATGTGAACTACACTGCCTACTAAAACTAAACTAAAACTAAAACTAAACCTGTAGATCAGATAAACAACATCCAAGAGCTAAAGTTGGCTAAGCCATGCTATAGACCACTTTTATTTCAGTCTTAAAATGCTGGGAAGTACTAGATTAGGAGAAAGTGAAGACTACACTATTACAACCAAAAAAAAAAAATCTGTAACATACAAGTTTGTAACAAAATTATTTGTAGTTAAGATAATTAACATTAGTCATGCATGTACTGAATATAGGCCTTAAACTAATCTGAACTTATTGTGAGACTAAAAATTTGTATTGATTTGTACTGTAATATAAATAGGGTCAAAGGAAAGAAGCATTCTCTAAGATACTTGATTTAGTAGTGCACAACACCTTGGGTTATAATTAGAAGAGCAGAAGAAAGTGACATTACAAAATGGGTCCTTAGATGCAATAAACAGAGAATCCCTTGTGCATTTCTGGTCAATTCCTGCAGGCTTCATAGCTTTTAGTATTTCACCAATTACCTGGAAGTTAAAAAAAAATAAATAACCCATACCTAAAGGTCTACAGGTGACAAAAAGTACCCTCACCCAAAGTAGCTTGGAAGAAATTTCAGACTCAAATGGAAGGCCAAAATGACCTCTTTCCTAGGACTAACTACAGCACTACTGACAGAAAACTTTCTTCTTCAGTCAGCTCAAAGCAAGGTCTATCTCAAAGCCAAGTCACACTGCTACTTGTCCACCCCAGACAACACTCAAGTGTGCAGAGTCCCTAGGCTCCCCAGTTAACCCAGACCAATGTTCACTTACCCTTACTATGAACTTTTTATTCATGTCCAAATACTTCTACTTATTTTTAAATGTTAATTACCTAGGAAATAGTTAATTTGCCTCTTCGCTGGTTTTACCTATTTGAAGGCATGCTGCCTTCTTGCTCTCTTTTCCTCTTCAGAAAACCAGGCAACCAAACACAACATCAGTTTTTTTTTTTTTAAAGGATGAAAAATTTCATCCTAATATATTAAAACTAAAAAGGACTTAAATTTTAGTCAGTCATCTGCTAAGCATAAACTCTCAGCCTAACACTTCATGAGATAATTAAATTGCACAGAAGTAAAATCTAGTTGCCTATAATCCCCCCACTGCTCTCCTCTTCCCCCAAAAAATCAGCTCAAGGTTTTTTTCAAGGATCATCAATAAAAACCAGACACAGATCCATGCATTTATAGGTCATACGTGACAGTATTTGTCATGATTAAACTGACACTTCTTTCCTAAACAAAATGCACTACAATGAAAAGTACACAAGTCCAGACATTGAAGATGGTTCCATTTAATTAATTTTAAAGCCAACATGGATAACATCAACAAAAGCCACTAGACTCCCAAAGTTTATAGAGCTGGACACAAACAATGAGAGTCTATTTTAGCCTGCCAGAGACACTTCCTCACAGTTAAGATGAACACGGGCAGAAAATACAGAGTAAAAGGATTTGTGCTTTGAAAGAATAGTGAATTCAACCTGGGTGTCACCAGCAGAGGCCATGGTGGCTTCTCCATATACTTGACTTTTAAACAGTCTGCCTGAACTTCTGGGATATATATTATAATTTAAGGAGGAATCAATAAAGAAAAGTCCTATGACCTACATTTTACAGGTTGTACTAGAAAACCACAGTGGTTTGTGATCTGCAAGTCTGATTTTTTTTTTTTTTTTTTTAAAGAACTACCTTAATTGCAATTATTTTCTAGTCTATAAGTTCCTTGTCAAAGGACTGGAAAAATAATATTAAAATGGTGGTTTGGGGAGGATTTAAAAAAAAAAAAAACATGCAGATCCATCAGAATGCAACTCACTCTTACTCTGAAATTCAAAATCCTTTTCCTTTAATACCCCCAAAGGTTACTCAAATAACCAGCACTAGCAAGCATCCCTTGCTCATCATAGTTTGGATCAACTATCTACACAACAGAAATACCTTAATAGAAAAAATGGTCAGATGCTCTGCAAACACATCTGCCTCCTTCAGATCAAAATTAATTAGAAAAAAAAATGTGGAGGACATAGTATGTCAAGATTGTCATTAGATGAAAGTAAACACCTTACCTGCAGAACACATTTTCCCTCAGCTGTATCCAGTTAACGGTACCATTAAACAATGCCAGGGATTAAAATGATTTCTTGATGCTCTACATGAAAGTGTCTCCACTGTGACAAACAATTTACAGCCTAGTTAATTCAGCAGATAAGCTGAACTCTGTATAGCTTATTTTATTTATCCATAAAAATCAGTTAATCTTGCTCAAGTAAAACATAATGAAACATGAATTTCACTACAAAAAAACTCTTTCAAATTCAAAGTAGCCTTGTTAAAACTTTGAGAACAAAATTACACCTATATGTCATTATGATAACTTAAGCAGTAAATTGCATACAGAAGTCTGTGCTGTTAAGAACTTCATAAGCACTAACAGCTGGAAGCATGAAGACTTCTATAATCATTAACTGCAGGGACTTGCATCCAAAGATCCAATTTTCTATTTAACCATACTTAAAAATATCTCTCCAAAACATTCAGGATTAGATTAGAAAAGGGAGTAGTCAAGAAAACAACTCAAGAAAAGCTTTTTCAAAGGATAACTCACAAGACAGCATCTCCTTTAAGTAAGCTAACATGCTAAATTTCTAGCAGCATCGCAGCCTCTTATTTGAACTCTGCTGTTGTGATAGCCAGGCTCTTCAGAGAGACTTCACTTCACTGGAGGCTGGGGGGCTTCAAAAGCAATAAGCACCTGATTGCCTCATCCACCCACATTCAGTGTTGACCAGTTTAATCTTTTCAGATAAATATAAGCCTCAGTCTTCAAAAGATTTAAACCAAATTCAAATACTTTTTTTTTTTTTTACAGAAAAGGAGTAGCAAAACAAAACTATATATCCTGTAGAATGTTTTCAACACAAAATTTACTTAGAAAGCAAAAGAATTTCTTAGAAACTAAAACAGTGAGAATCTAGATGGAAAATGTATAGGTAATTACGGTATAAGTATCAATAATCAAACATAATAGTCTGGCAGTTTACATCTAAGAAATTTCACCACAAGTAAGGGAAAAGACTCCTGAACTAATCACACAATCCATAAAGACAAAAATACTTGTGATTCCTCCAGGAAAGTTTTCCTAGTCCAGAAAGTTTGCCTTTTCTGAAGCTGCAATATCTTGACATCAAATTAAGTCTTCCAATACCTGTGCCCAGAAAAAGGTTTAGTCTTTGCTAAGGAAACGAATCAGCTGTGCAGAAAGCCTCCAGTATATTGTGAACAGTACGTAAAGAGGTTTTCATATCAGCACATAAAATCACACCTTTTCAAATGGGTTTCCAGACAGAAAACTGTGCAGGCATATGTTACAGAAGTAAATTTATCTAGTCCAAAATTATAGCCACAACACTCTACTGACAGAAGAAAAAATGAAGTGGAAGAGCACCATTTCAAGTGGGCACCACTTCAACTTCTGAATGAGGAGAGAAAAAAAAAGTGTTTTTCAAATCTGTACTCAGAAGGTCACTTTGGTTAATAATAACCAAGCAAGATTTATTAAAGGAGTGCTCAGAATATTCATCAAGCCAATAATATTTGGCACACAACCTGGTCAGGTATGGCTCTATAACACTGCTTAATCTTTTAAGCTTATTTCCTCTTCAGTCTGTGTCAAACCAAGAGGACTAAGTTGCTGCATATCCCCTGTAAATACAGAACTTTTAAAGACAGATACTAGATACCACACTGACCTTAAGCAGGTAGTTCAAATTGCAAAGGGGCCTGTCTTGTCGTGTACAGTGACAAGGGCCTTGTCATCTACTTCCAAATGCAACCTCACTTACAAACATCTACACATAACCTCCCTCTGAAACCTGCCCCTAGCCCGAGAAGTTCAAGGCTTCTCTCCTAGACAAGCTCCACTGTAATTCTGAAAGGCAATACACAACCTGTACCTCAGCCCCAGAGAATATAACAGGATAGGAGGACAAAAACACATGGAGACAGACCTCCAAAAAACCAAAACTACAAGATCTCAAATGACAGAAAGCAAGTTGTCTGATCTGCTAGCCTAGAAATGAAGACACAGCCTTTGGAGTCCTTTCTCGAGGTCTGGGCCATTTACTCATTTACCTTTAAAATTTAATTGAACACGGTCAGTGAGACATCAGCCACCTTCATTGTCTTTGAGTAAGAGTATTGGTCACACACTCTTCAACAGATAATTACAGGTCTTTTAGAACGGCTTCAGGAGCACCTTACACTGGGAAAGTTTTCCTCCAGACCAGGTTAAGAGTGTGTGTGCACTCTGAGGGCCCAAAATAAACAGAAGAGGCAGAGAGAAATAGACCAAAATCTCTCACTCCTCCATGACCGAAAAGCTAAACAGGAACAACATTGTACTACAATGGCAAGGGACTTGCACAGGATGTGAAACACCTGCATGTTAGGCTCTGAATCACATGAAATTGAGTCCAGGAGTCCCACATCTATTCTGAATGTGCCAGGCACAAAGCAATTAACCCAAATGACTAAGAACACAGATTCATCTATGCACACCACCATTTTC